ATATACATATGTATGTATATAAATGTATGCACATGTTTCAATTCTTTGTGTCCTTTCATTTCGTTGCCACCTCCAAATTTTGACAGGTGTGCCCCGCACTCATTCTATTCAGCATCTATGAATATTTTCCCAGTTTCCTGTACATAATATATGCAGTAATATACGTACGTTAGGGTGTTCCAAAAATGCACAGATTTTTTTTTTGGAATTTTCCTGCTGCCACCCCACAACTGATGTATCTATGGGCGATTTTTCGACTATACGCTTATAGCATAGAAGAATTCTACGTGTAATTCTAAGCAAATTTGCGAAGAAACCATGGGTCTAAAATCAATTTGGAGTTTGCCAAATTGCGAAAATAGGTTATTTATATTATATATAGGTTTCTTCTGCAAATTTGCTTAGAATTACACGTAGAATCCTTCTATGCTATACGCGCGTAGTCAAAAAAAAATTTAACCGTCGCCCTAATGTACATATCGATGTATTTTACTTTTTTATAGAATTTCTATAAAACCGTTAAACGTGTGTATTTTTTTCAAATGAGAATATTTCCTTTCAGAAATTAAAAAAAAAGAAATGATGATGCATGTTTAGTTTTCCCCATTGGAAAACGATGGAAAATTTCAAACCCCGACAGAACGGTTAAATAGTAACCGATTTCAAAAAAAAAAAAAATAAAAAATACTGGTCCCGTTATTCTCGATATACTTTAGTTCTGGGATCACCCTATTCCATATGTATATACATACATACATACATGTTTTTAAGTATGCAATGCTTTTTGTGGTTTTTGAGCAAACTTTTGTTGCCGTATTTCCTATTTCAAACAGCCTAAAAAATTACCAACAACAACTTTTTAACGTCCCTAGATACGCGTTGTGGTAAAAATGAAAATTCGCGGCATCAGTTGTGGGCGATAGGCCGTAAACATTTTCACGCATACTAACGCATTACACGAAAATGTGTTTGTGTGAATACAATTCAAAAATTCCCAATTCATAAATTCGCAATTCAAAGTGACAACGTCACTCGAGATTTCGCTGCTATCGATGTGCTTGAGTGGAATAAAATAAAATAAAAACGGCGTGTGAGCTGGAAATTCTTCCTAAATTTTCAATTAACTATGTATGTATACATTTTTGTTTGGTAATATTCAGGCTTTTGATATACATATCGAGCCCTAACCGCCAAAATAACGTAAGCGACATTTTTTTCAAAATTTTCTTTTTGATGTAGAAATATTCCTAAAGCATTTAGATGCATTTCTGCATCAAAAAGAAAATTTTGAAAAATATGTCGCTTACGTTATTTTGGCGGTTAGGGCTCGATATGTATATATGTGTGCCCGTCACATAGCTCTGGTATTCTTTTACCACATACTTAGTATTTTATGTGGATTGCTTATTAAATGGAGTTTTCTTTTAGCCGGTCCCTATTTTCACAAGCGTTTTAATGACGTTACAAGTAGACCAAAACCACAGGAAGGTTTTCAAGTAAGAGGGCGTCTTGACGTATGTATATGGGATTCTTTGCCTTTTATTGGTGCACTTATAAAATCTCCAAGCTTGATATAGCCTATTTTTGAAAAAAAAAACCAAAGGGATAGTCCATTGGTCTCATCTTTAAGGGTGTCCCCTCTCTAAGCCATCGCAGAAATATATGACCGAAGTATTTAAATATTTACTTTGCTTACAAGGGCGCAAAATGGTTCAGTAAACTGGAATAAATTATTGCCTGGGAAATTCATCTGACCTTAGTTGCATTCAACATTGAAAACAAGTCGTTACTTTGGCTAAAGTGGGATCAACTTCTTGCAAGTGTTGCCAGTTTCTTAGCTTTAAGACCAGTTTGTAATATTGCAAGCAGTTTTATAAAAAAATTGTATTTAAGTAAAAATCAATCCATACCAAAAATGCTACTTCACATATTTTGCCAAGAGATTGACCGGGATCCTTTCAAAATTTGTGGTTTGTGCATTGACTTTGTCATAAAAATGGAAGGACCTACTGTTTTGCGCAGCCTGCAAACGGCGAACCGGTTTTTATGAGGAGCTTTCGAATATCAAAACTACACCCGGAAGTTTGCAATGGCTTGCTGAGTGGCGACCGCTATTAGAAAAAATATGTTTTTTTTTTTACATTAATCAAACCAGGAATCTAACCTGAATTTATTATATGTATTTTATACGAGTTAAAAAATCTATACATGTATGTATTTAATTCTAAGTTTGCTATCAACAGCTTTTTTCTAAATTATTTTTGATTTTTTTTTTTTTTTATAAAAACCCATTACACGTGAGTAAATTTTTGTTTCAATCGATTTTTATGCGCATTCACCAATTAATACAATACCTGGCATGACCACCACCTGCACTTCTTTATTAGTTGGCTGCGGTTTTGATCGCTTAAGTAGCTTAAAGAAGGTGAAAGTCACGCTAGGAATGCGACAGCCAGCAACGTGCAACGAGTCAACATCGCACGTGGTGTCAACGGATATGAAACTCGCCTCAAATATATCTACATACGTTTGCGTTTGTGAGTTGGCGTGTTGCAATCACCTAAGGGCAGTTCCATTGGAGGAAGCTTTCAGCTTTATTTGATTTGGATTTCTCCTATTGGAGGATGCAGCACACAAACATACATACATACATACATGTGTACATTCGTAAATTCAATATTATTGTGAATGCGACAATCTTATATGTACGCATATCTATACATATTGCATTGTTTGTGTACATATATGTCAAGAACGGGGTCACAAAGGCAGATAAGCTTTTTTGCGCGCCCCGACATTTGCAGTAAAATAGTTGAAATGACAGCAGCAGCAGCAGCAGCAGCTGATATGCAATCACTTTCAAGTCTCAAATATTTATTTCTTCAAATATTTGCATTATTGCATTCGAAGCCTGCAGGCAGAGCTATGTTGCATTGCAGCTGCGCAAAGGGCTTTACCATATTATATTAGCATCTGCATGTCAGTTTTGCAAAAAAAAAAAGTGAGTTTTTATTGGTAATCTTATAATGAATTGCTTTTTCTATTTGCCGGGATGACTTTTTTGCCTGGATCCGGTTATTGTACTCAACTGAAATGCGCACCAGCGTTGCATATGTATGTACATACTCGAACACACATACATACCTATTCTGTTGCAAGCTAGTCACTGAAAATACATACATATCATGTTTAACAAAATTGTAAATAATAAAACCTAATTTATATGGCTCACATAAATTATCCTAACGAGCGCAATTCATAACCATAGCTGCTGCTGCTTTACATACAGCCCACAATATTGTAGCTTACGAGTGTAAACTGCAGCCGCTGAATGTGTGTCGGCTTCGTTGTTCCGCATCTATTTTCTGAACACTCACATCTACATATGCACAAATGTATTTCTTCCCTCTCATCTTCAAACGATAATGTCCTTGCCCGCTTTAAAATCCAGATTACACCACAGCCGCAGAGTCTGCTTAACTTTCGAGGCATCAATTTCCACGCCCACGACATCCTGACCTCACCAGCACACAGATGCTGCACCGCCCATCTTTTTTATGCTTCTTTATATTTTTCATATGCGTGTAATTTATACAGCTTAAATGCGAATAGGTTTTCTACGCTGTCGTTTGAAAGTTCGATTTTGTCAGTGGTTCTAAAAAGATGAAGTCGTAAGTGATACAATATCATTCATGTTTGCTTCAAAGTCGACATATTTTAAGTTTTAAGTCTATAGACGATACGTGTGCGGAACTTGTATTTTGGTTGAATTTCGATGTGCGCATCGCCATCCATCATAAAGTATTTCGGACTTAGACATCTCCGTCTATATACATCCTGCTTTTAAATCTAGAGAAAGAGCTTGCCGTTAAGATATTTGAGCCGAAAGAAAATTGCTATCGGGAGCCTTGAGCAACCTCTTCATTTGAAAGGGATACAAAATTGAAAAAGGTTTGAACTAAATGTAAGGAGTATTAAGGAGACTATTTTGAAAAATAAAATGCTTTCCGCCAAAAAAAAAATAACTTTGATTCAAATAGTCACTGGCTTATCAAACTGCGTTCGTAGCAAGAAGAGTCGATTAAAATTTATCACATTTAAAAATACCCCAACGAAATTGAAAATATTTGCCAGATAGAAGATTTAAAATTGTAGGTAAATTATCTTATTCAAAATTTATCACAAAAAAAAAAATGTTTATGTTCAAGATGATCGAAATGTATGTTTTTAATATATTTACTTCGCGGTTACATAAATTAACTGCTCAAGCAAAAATTTGTTTCTATTTCAAACCTTGCAATAAATTCTTCTCGACTGATTGGTGAAATGAAGCAATTTTTTTACAAACTTTTATTATGTTTCACCTGTGTGTAATCAAATCTGGCAATCAGTTTTTAACCAACTTCCCGATGAGCTAGAGACGTGAGTCCTCTAGTTGGCGCGGGTGTCGAGATATTTTAAAAACCAATATGTATGGACCGATGTGGCCCATATTTGGAGTGCATATTACCTACATAAAAAGGAATAACTTCACAAAAAAAAAAAATTACCCGATAGGTGGCGCAGGAGTCGATACATTTTGCAAAACCCGTGTCTCTGGTCCGATTTGTCCAATATTTAGAACGTATATTACTCAAATGGAAAGAAATAACTCAAAAAAAAAAAAACTTAGCCCATTAGGTGGTGCGGGAGTTGATTATTATAATTATTATTAAAAATATTTTTCTTAAATGACTTGTTATCAGATGTGTATGCATCTAGTAAAGGTGGAACTAACATTCCCAGCAGTTTAAAGCCTTGGGTGTCATGGATTCTTAAATTCAAAAAGTCGTACACAAAGGTGTAAATATAAACATATTTTCCTGCTCGAAACAGCCTAAATATCCACCTAAATATATATTATTTTATTTATACATAAATATACGTACTATATATATATACGAGTATAATAATTTATTCAAATGACACATTTTATTTATTTTTTCTTGGCTCTTCAACAGCTCATCAGAAACGCCGTACGAAGGACACAAATGATTCGCGCGCTGCAGGTGTAAAAGCCTGGAGGATATGTGTATAAAAACAATAAAGCCCTCTAGCCAAAGGACGAAAATTTGGCTTTTGTTTGCGTCCAACCAACAACAGGAAATACAAATCGTGCCCGTACTAAGCCAAGAGCCGACGCAGTTGTAGTAACGTGACGTGCCGAAAATGGCAAAGGACTCCTCGAAGTAACTTGAGTGAAGTGTGAGAGACATTGAGGCAAATTGAAATTAACCGCTGCTTGTGCGACGTAACTGTCAATAAAATGGTAAAGTACGGCAAAATTGTCAAGTAAAAATTGCCAAATTGCTCCGAGGCAAGAAAAGTGGAAACAACAAAAAACAAACATCGATAGTGTAGTGCAAACAAACAACTGTAATAAAAATCCTACAACAATAACAGCAACTCTAAGGAAGTCAACTAGCAATTGACATTAACATCCTACGCGACAGACACAAAGGCGATCGATCCTTCCCTGTCCACAACCAACTTGTTATCCCGTTAGCTATTATCCTTCGCCTGCTTCGCGTTTATCCGCTTAGAAAGTTATTTTTTTTCGTTATTCGCCCCCAACGAATTGCGACAGACGGATACTTAACTTTTTTGCGTCATTGTAAATATATTTTGGTGAAAAAGGTGCCAACAACAAAACAGCAGTCGTGGATACCGCCGGTGATTATCAGAAGTCAGTGCTAGTGCCGCCGCCCTGCCCACCCGCCACACCGCCCTACCAGAGGCTAACAAAAGCGCTGCAGTGCGATCCAAGATGCGGACACGAGGTAATTACATAAGCGAGAGAAGTGGAAATGTGGATGTCTTAAAAAGAGTGGAATGATAAAATTTGTAGTCGAGTTTCGAAGAATCCAATGGGTTAGGTTGCATGCTTTTACACAACGCTAGGTGCAGCAAAGCAATACACTGTTACTAGATATAATTACCGCTGGTACTTGAATAACTATAATTTTTTTTTTTAAGAAAGAGAAATGAATAAAATTGTAAAAGCAAGCAAAAAGGTCGCCAATCTATTATATTATTATTTTCTAAGATATTTAAGCTCTCCAGCATGCCTTTTATTATTTGGGAGTAATTACTTGACTTAGTTACTATTTCCCAGAACATTTTTAGCAATTTCAACAAAAGAGGTTCACAAAGGAAGTTCCAAATCGTTTATTTAACTTAAGCAATCAGATTCTGTTATCAATATTCTTAAAAAAATTCTGCCTTTTATTTTTTTCTGTGCTTAGACCAGGAAATTTTGTCGTTAAAGTTGTATGGAAAACATTGCCTCCTAGAGGATTATATGTCTGAATAAATTATTTTTTAATGTTAACACTAGCGGTGGAAAACTATCGATAGTTGGCGATGATTTTTCGGCTTTAACTGCTTTATAAATCGAAAAGTTGATTAAAATGTAACTTTACAAAGCTCTTTAAACATATTTTATTTTTTGTGAATAAGGCCCTTAGTATTTTCAATCCACAACAAATAACAAAAAACTAACAATATCTCGGCACCAACAAATTTCCTAAAATTGTTGACCTGTGTAATCGGTAAAGTACGTTTTGACGCCGTTGCCACCTATGCCAAAGTGGTCTCCAAACGGATTCATGCCTGGGATCTCAGAAACAGAAGATGCAGCCTTCACTTAACGCCACAGCTGAGATTGGTTTTCGTTTTTGATTTTACAATTCCTGCATCGAGGTCACTAATCGTATAAAGAAAGTTTTTCGAAATTGTCGAACAGGCAGTTCGCCGCTTGATCTGTACGAATTTTAGTGACTGGTCAAGTTTTTGATTAAAGGGATATTCGCCACTAATAGAGTCTTTCATCTCAATTAACCGTCGCCTTTGCTGTGACATTCGCTTCGACATGCAAATACGTGTACTTAAGCATACCTACCTTTAGACTATAGCTCTGTTATAACTACACCCTTAATTTGTTGTAATCGCGAATGCTAAACAAAACTCTTAGCCGATTGCGCAATTTCGATTGCCTCAATTACATTTTGTGGCAATTATTCGCTTATAGCGCAGCAATAGCACAGCACACCCTGGCGAAACCTACGCCTACGCCAAAAGAGGTCTATGAACCTAATACACCGTGTATTTATATAGTACATATGTACATACATAGTAGGCAATGATCCGTTATGCCGACGAACCCCACCAAATAGCGTCGCATGCAAAATAGTCGCCACGCTTTAACTGGACAGCATTGAACTTGGACTTGAAAACAGTTCGCCATGGCGTACACATTGAATTTGTAAGGCTTCCTCCGCTCACAACACTGATGGCATGGGTTGAGAAAATACCTAGGAAAAGTGTTAGCAAATGTTTATTCAATTATTGCCAAGATACATATGTACATACATATATATGCACGTATGTATGTATGAACCAAGCAATCAAGTCGTTACAATCAGTGTTGCCAGAACTTTCTTGGCAAAAAAAACCGGCTAAAAACGGCTTAACTGTTTCAACTAAATTTCACATGTTTTATTTAAATAAATCATAAGTAGAAAGACTAGTTCTTGGGGAGAAGTTGCAAATTCAAGCTGGAAAAAATTTTGGCGGCAAGAATTTGCAATTAGAAAAAACATGTGAATGTGGCACATGGTTGCATTTTTTGTCGACAATAATTTGAATAAACAGGTTCGTCAAATTTAAAAATTTACAAACTTGAGCGATTTATAATAAAAACTTTAAGTAAAGACTTATGTACTTAATTAGTTTAGTTAATTCCAATGATTTGAAACGTACTCGTAACACAAATTTCTTATGTTTTAAATGCAACCGTGGACACTAGCTGGCAGAGAAACTTGCAAGTTCCTGCAAATTTGCGTTCGTGCAGAAATTTGCAAGTTTCTCTATTTGAGAGAGAATTTGGGAGCCCTTTTTCTTACTAACTGATATTTTGAGTGATAATTTTGGCTGGATTTTCGACGAACAAACCTATTGTCTTCCTAGAGAGTTTTGCTTTACATAGAAATTTGTGCTATTTTACTTTCATTTTTATGCATTTCAGTGCTGGTTCTTTTAATTCAAGTTGGCATTCGGTTTTTGGAATTTAAATACGTTTTTAGGAAAAAAAGTTAGTTTAAATAAGCCCATATGTGTACATAGTGCTTGAAAATATCCATTTTTCACTTGCATTAAAACTTTAAGCGTGGGCAACAATGATGTTTTGTATTTAAGGCAGAATTGAATATACGCTATCTGGGAAGACAATACCTGTAACATTTATTCTTGGCAGTATATCCAAACACAAACGCCTGTTAAGCAAACAGTGAAACAATTTGTTATTTTCTAACTTTGCGAATAAAACTTCACACTTAAATTTAGGTCATTGATAACAAACATTTTATGAAGAGAGTCCCCGTTACGGCCTTCTTTAGAAAAAAAATATTTGTTTAAAATAAAAATAATCGAAATCGGTCCAATTTTATATAACCCTGCCTCCACGATAACGCTAGTAGCCATTTCTAACATATTTTGGGTCGCTTAGTCAAAAATGGAAACATATATATTTGAATTTTATGAAAACAAAGAAATAGCAAAATCGGCTAAAAACGGCTAATTTTTTTACAAAACGGCTAAAAAATCGGCTTCCGTCTAAACCGAAATTTCTCCGGCTGTTTGCTATTGCAACCGGCTAAATCTAGCCGGAAAACGACTAAAATGGCAACACTGGTTACAATAGGCGGCTACCTACAAAGCAGTAAAAATAAACTCCAAATCATAAATACAATATTTGAGCTCATTTGTGGAAATTGCCTACACGTGCAAGAATAATCCCCAACACCAAAACTGGACACTCATACACACATTGGAAAATTTGATCGATGTATTATTCGCCACTAACACAATTGCTTCATTGCTGCGATAAACACTGGCAATAAATCCACACAAAAAAGTAAACTCTTACCAGCTAATAAGTGCCATAATTTCCATAAGAAGATTAAGTAAACGAAATTCGTGTAGCCTAATGCAAAATACTCTAGCAGTATGAATATTGCTTGCGATGGGTACTTACTTACATGCCTGAGCTTCCGAACGATGAATAAACATGCCGACAATTATGGAAAGCTCAAAGTTCGTGAGCTCATGAATGTGTGCAGCAGTTTGGTACTTGGCCATGAATTTCCATTTCAAAGAAACTCTAATTACTTGCCACAAGCATATACACGGGAGGGTGTAAGCTGTAATGTATAAGCTTATCAGCATAGCCATATGCCCAGCAGGAATTTGCAGAATAGCTACAGCATTTTTGTTTTATTACTTGGAAGTTGTTAATTTGAAAATGCATATATCGAGATCTTAAGCGAGTTTTATTTAGCACTATTTTAGGGTTAATTTCCTACCACGGTTACATACATACATGTCTTTCAGCGCATTTAACTTAACACTGGCAACTGCCTTCCAAAAGCGAGAATGCAGGAAAAGATAATGAAAATATGGGTAAAGAACTCAGTCCACACCTGAATAATGACGAAATTCTTGTCCTAATTACCGATTACTGGTAGCATTGAATTACGCTAAACGCTAGCTATTACGCGCCAATCGATGATATTTGAATTAAATATTTCCTACTGGAAACCCCACCTAACTTCCAGCAGCGTGCACGCTTACTTCATATCGGGCACGTGGATTCGCTTATCAAAGCATCGAGTATTACACAGAGTTGACAAGTCAAGGACTTAAGCTAAAAGGAGGTCGAATATCCACTGAAACGTCCATAAACCACAATGTCGAGTTGGCTTGTTGACGCTAATGCTGAGCACTGAAGCGTAGATACTTTAGCTAAAAATCCGCGAAAGCTGAAATGCTAATTCTGAGTGCTCTTTGCACGCATTCAGTTGAGTATTCAAATTTAATCATCAATAGGATACTTACATGCATACATATATCTTGAACTGGTGAATTTATTGTATAGCTTCTGTGATTGTATGTAGCCAGATAGCCACCATAACAAAAAATACGCAAAAAACAAATATTCATGAGTGGCCTTTTGTTTGTTCGACATCCCTTCGCTCACTGGCAAATGGCGATTGGAGCAATTAAGGGCACAAGAAATGACTGAAAACCCCCAACGGTAGGAAAGAACGAGCAGCAAAGTGCAGTAACGGTGAGTGAAAATCGTCATGGACAATGTGGCAACACCTGCTTCGACAACGCTCGGAAACAGCGATGCTATGCTGCTGAATTTGAAATTGAAGATATGCGTGTGTGTTTGAGTAATTGATGTGCGCCTACAATGCATACATACATACATACAGTATGTTGATATGTGCCGGCCTTACCAATTTGGCGGTTACAGAGTGATGCTTTTGTGAGGTCTAGCAGCCATTCATATCGGAAGAGGCAGCACGGGTGTGTGAATAAAAAATAAAAAACAAAAAAAAACTATCTAAATAAAACAAATAAAAGATGAAGATACACAAAAAAAAAACTCGAAGTCCGCTAACTCGAATAAAACAAATACAAAAGCAAATCCATACTTACCAAAATCTGAACTTGTGGATGAAAACTCATCTCTTAGCGATCACCTTGTATTCTCAATTATAATTTCAACATTTTTGAAGCGATTTTAAATTGTTAAATGCCACGAAAAAGAGGATTATTGATGATTCTGATCAAAAATTGTGTTACAGCCACGAAAAGTTAGCATCTCAATGCTGCAATCCGTCGCACGTTAGAGATTTGCTACGAATTGGAATATCGTAATTTCGAAATTCGTAGGGTACTTTCGCAATTCGTAATGCTGGCATGCCAGAATCCGACGTAGCTGTCAATTTGCGGAAATACGCGGTAATTTTGTACGAACAGAAAATGGGGCTGGAGCTACATTAGTTCTTGAAAAAAAAAATAATAATCAAATAGCGTGTATAAGCGCGCGAATAATTAAAATCGTTTAATTTAAATAGTACATAAAAATCGCCAATTTCAAGTCATGGTCTTTTCCAATACCACTGTTGATAACTTCCTTCAGCGAAGGACCGAAAAACTGCCAATAGAGAAGCGACCTATGAAGATTTTATACTTAGTCCAAGCTCTTCCTCCCCAATACTTAAAACGCTTTTGAATGCGTCTTTGTTAAGGAGAAAAGCTTTCCCAAATCCTTAAAGATTTAAACCTTTATACAAGTACATTAATATATGTGTGAGTTAAATGAATTAAAAAAACTCACATTTTATCATACATATACATATGTATGTAGAAGCTAAATGGAGTAGAATTATGCCTAAAGCATGGGCGGAGGCAAAATAATCCATTATATTTTGATTAATTAAAAAAGCTTCTTTGCAAATAGCTAATAAACGCTGATTTTAATTGAGGCAGATTTCCAAATCTCAATTGGAGCACACATAATCAGCGATTGCTTAACAACAACCCATTTGATTATTTTTAAGTAGTCTGCAGCATCCAATCACTTCGTGTGTCAACTACTTGACATTTTGAAGCTCATAGCAGCCTAATAACTTAAAATACATATCCGATGGCATTGTACCGATTTAAGCACTTTGTGTGTCCGGGCGTATGAGTGACGTTCGAGAACATAATTTTATGGGCATAACTATATACATTGTACATTAGACCATATTACGATGTATAGTAGCGTGGGCCGAAAATCCACTTTTTTAGAATTTTGATTGGTAATAGCAAAAATTGTAGTTTATTATACTCTAAAAACAATCTTTGCTAAAGATGGCAATTTTTGGTCAATATCTTAGACTCGCCCAAGTCCATCAAAGTTCCATGTGCTCAAAAAATAAAAATTAAAACATTTTTTTTTTACTTAAATTGCAGTTGTCCTCGACAGTATTAGTCGTAAATCATTTAATACATATATAGACATTTTTTGTAGGGAATCGAAGGAAGCTAAGAATTTTTTTAACACTTGAAATTTGATGGACTTGGGCGAGCCTAAAAAATTATTTTTCGGCATCCTGTAAAATACTCTAAATCGGGTTTTCTATAACATTCATTTTTTTAAATATCCGATTTCTATAAATTATACATCGTTGCATGTTATGTTCATTTGTCTGAAAAGGACCAGGTACGAAATAATATGTGTCCGAAAAATAATCTCCATGTCAAGCTGTAACCCTTTGGCAAGAAAAATGTTAACCTTTCCTCATTGAACAATAGCATAAAACTAGTAACTTTGTAAATAGTAATTTAAAGTAAATTTTTTCAGGACTCCAGTTGGCCTAATCAGGCTCGACAATTAAGCTTGTAAGGGAGTGTATGTTTTAGCTGCTTACTATTAATTACATGGTGCCGTGTTCAGAGCAAAATTTTAACTCTTTAATTTGTCATGATAGGATATTAGCTTCTGGGAAAGTATGTAGAGGTTCTTTATACCTTTACAACGGTATGTCCTTTATAGAAATCGTATATCAAAAACGCAGTTATAAAAAGCCAATTTAGCTGTCTTTACAGGGTCTTCATTGAAACTTTTCTTGTGGTACGGTCTAATGTGCTGCATACAAATACTACTTATACAAACATATGTATGTACATGGCAACAAACATTTTCATTTTATACTTTTCTTATGTACGGTGATTTCTCTCAATAAGGGTATGAGATAATCAATATTCATTGCACACACTTAAGAGTTATTAACACTAACACAATTGTATGCACACACATGGACTTGCATATATGTATGTATGTAAGTATGTATGTATGTATGTATGTACACATAACACATTGTTGTAATTTACACCTTAAGAGATACATAGATACAATCTCTTGAATATCAAGCAACATGTGGTTGTCAAAATTCAATTAGCTCCATCCATTAAATTTCCTAATTATTAAATTCTGTACATATATAAGTATGTACAGGTGTAGATGTTTTGAGTAATCTGTGCAACTTCGTAAAGCAGATACTTTGTTGTATATGTACATATGTATGTATGTAGTTAAATGAGCTGACAGTATATGCATTGGACGTTCCACGTCAACCGGATTAGTACGTCAATGGGACGTATTACAAAGATTAAGGTCTTGAAATGATCGACTAGACTCTGGATGTCCACCATTAAAAGCGGTGTGGCCTTGTGAAAAATTCAACTATGGGGTATAAAATAACTATAACTAGATTTTGCTGTACAACTTTTGTGCCTTAGGCTAACCCAACACTAAAAAAGAAAATGTAACAGCGGATTTTTTATAAGCTTGGTGTTGCTGATTATGAATCTGCGCCTGTTTTGAAAAATATAAAATCGATTAAAAACTGCACACAATCAGTGGTTCTTAGGGTCGCTGATTATGAAACTGAAATCAGACTTTAAAAATTCAAAATGGCGAATCTGCCATTTGTCACGGTAAATTTAAAATCGAACGTACGTACATGGCGTATGCGTAACATTCTCCTCTCGTCTGAGCTATCTGTAAATGCGATTAGTCAATGGTAAATAAAGATATTTCTGATCCAAAGACATTAATGAAGAAATTCTCAATGTCTGTCTTAATAAGGCTCTCCGACTTGGCATTTTTAAATGATATTATTGAAAACTAAATAAACTCAATAATGGTTTTCAGAAGTTGATGACTCTAATCTCAGCGTTCTATATATGAAAGATGCTGTTGGCAGAGAAAAAACCGTCAGCTTTTCCCATCGTTTGCTCTTCCTTTGGACTCAGAAATTCTTGCGGGCTACAATCCAGCGCATTACGTGCAAAACTTTCTTCAGTTACGATCGAAATACGAAAGGCCGATGCATGATGCAAATGCCAGGGTTCGTAACTAACAGTTTCTGTTTGCGTCTAACAATGTAGGAACTATTAATTCGATGAAATCCATCATAATCAATCAAAAAGTGAATTTTGAGTTAGTTGCAGAGTTCTGCATTTTAGGTGACGAAATGTTCTCTATGGAACCAGTTTTATCTTTTTACTTAAAATCGATTTATGAATTATAGTGGAAATACTGCTTTACCAATTAAGAGAAATGGTTGTTGTCACAATACAACGAATGCTCTTTTTTATGTGCAGGCGGGGCCCGCAAAACATTGTAATGGTTTCAAAGTAGCCCTCGGTGCGTACTCAGTTGGACACCACTGGTTTAAGGTCTTCAAATGAATTGCGATTAGTCTCGAGTGAAGCACATTTTTTGGTCGATAACACCCTTTTTTCACGCGCGGTCACATATGTATGTATATGTTGTGCAAAATATGGACTAAAAATGCAAACAATGGGAATCATAGAAAAATAGGCGTTTACATATGACTAAAATATGTAGAATATGCAAAGGCATTTTTAAGATAATTTAATTATTCGCGCAGACGAAAACATATATTTTGGATAGATTTCCTTATGATTTTGAAAAAAAACGGATATTAAATTTTTTCGCTTTATTAAATTTTTTTCAAATTTCCAGGTAACTATCGGCCGACGCATTGGTCTTTACAGATTTTGCGGCGACATTGGGCGTGGCAATTTTTCCAAAGTCAAATTAGCTGTTCACCAGTTAACCCGAGGTAAGTACTTTTACTATTGCGAAGTTATAATCGAAGATTAAATCAAATATATGGTAATATCTAAACTCTAGTCTACAAATTAAAAAAGGCCTTATACATATACATATACATGTGTATGTATGTGTAACTCCAAATGCCTTCTTTAACAACGTGGGTTTCATTTGAGAAAATAGAATACAAATTTCATCTGATCTCAAGAATGATCATATCCTATAAAACTTGATTTGCCGGGCTGAGAAGGTATGGAATCGCCGCAATCTGCTAAAAAATATTTTTTGTAACACCTTGAAACACAGCCATGTTAGCCACATACCAAACGACGTTCACGACAAATTGACTCTCCGAATTTCTTGTTTAGAATTTTTGATGCAAATTTGTTTTCCCCTAACTTCCGGTGTTTTTCAAACTATAATAAAAACGCTTGTATAAGAGGGGTTTGCTAAAAAAAAAGTAGTTGACTGATATTTGTTTAAATTATATTTTACCGCAAAATATGGAAACGTGAACCCAATTAAAAAAAAAAAAATTATGTGTTGCGATTTAGAAAACTCATATTGAAATTTTACTACTATATTCGAATACTAATGTTTGTGTACGGTTAGCTTGAGGCCCGAAATGATTTTTAAATGAGCAAGAAAAAACTTGAACCTCCCTGGTTCTCGATTGCGGCTATTCCACATCCCCTCCGTACCCCGAAACTCCACTTATTTGACATAACTAAAGTTCAGAATAGGCCACCATAGAAATTATATTCTCGAAATTTTCCTGTGTAATTAGCCAAATAAACAAAAGCTTTGCTTTAATCACCCAAACTTATATCGTTTACGAAATATTTTTAACTCAGCTAGTTATTTCAACAAAATAACGTATTTTGCAAATCAAGCCCCACAGGATTGCCAACACAACACCAAATCAGATTGCTATTAATTTAGGCCCCTTCAACTAGAGATTTTAAGAGTTACATTACAATGGAATAATTTGATTTTTTTTTAGTCTGTATCATCGGGTTAAGTGTATGGTTTAAGTCAAACATTAAATCAAACTTCGGTGCGATAGATAAAAGCATTTGCCGTAGCTTCTATCAATTCAATGAGAATTTTCCCTGTTCACAACAAAAGAGCAACTAGCTGAAATGCCTTTCAAAGTATTAGTGTGCACAACTTACAATAAATAAGTACAAATCAATGCGTACAAACTCGTACTCGTAGTAGCACTGCAAAAAAGACACAGCAATCAATTGTTCTTCGGCACTCAGAAAAAATCCGCTTTGGCCGTTTTACTTTTGACGTAGAATACGTCTTACCTCATGAACCAACGACTACAGATCACCTAATCAGCCATCGTTGTATTTGTAATCGATTTTCAGAAAAAAGTTTTCGTAGCGTTTTTGACGTTTTTCGGTTTTGTTTACACCGTCTTCTACCTCTTCGTAGT